TTTTTTGGTTAAAAAAAAAAAAAAAAAAAAAAAAAAAAAAAAAAAACGAAGAAATAAAAAGGAAATAAAAAATAAATAAAGAAAAAGAAATAAATAATATATAAAAATAAATAAATAAATAGAGGGAAAAGAAGAACAATTAGTAAGTAAGTATAATAGCCAAAGAAATAGATAATATATAATACAGCATATATAATACATCATAAGATACATAAAAAGATGGAGAAAAAAGTACATAATAAAATAGGGAATAAAATAGACAATTAAATAAATAAAATAAAGAAATAAAAGACGAACCTGTAAAGGTAAGAGATGCCTGATTAGTTAATCTTCTTGCTAGCCAAAGGAAAGGTTTCTCGAAATTATAATTCGATCTTGCACTAATATCATAATATTGCAAATTTTTTTTTCTATGGAATTGAATTACTCGGGCCTTAACTTGACGATCTTTTACGTCTACCTATAAATAAATTAATAAACTAAACAAATAATATTATTAATTCATCTATTATTTAGTATTTATTAGTATTATAGGGAGAAGGGGGGGAAAAAATGGGGAAAAATAAGGGGAGAAGCAGCAGAGTCGACTGGGTATCTTCTATCTATATAGGGGTATATATGTATTCATGTATTCTTATTGTATTTATTTTATTTTATTTTATTTATTTATTTATTTATTTAATTTAATTTATTTATTTTTATTTAATTTACCTTGTTTCCTACGAGTACGATGGGTATATTCTCGCATACACGAACAATATCTCTATGCCAATTGGGGATATTTCTGTATGTAATACGACTTGTTACATCGAACATCATAATAGCGCATTGCCCCTATAAAAAAAAGAAAATAAATAAAATAAATTTAATTTAATTAATTATATTTAATTTAATTAATTAAATTTAATTAAATTAAAATAAATAATCAAAAAAAAAGCATGCAGAATAAGCTATATAAACCCTCATAAACCCTAAACCCCTCTAAACCCTAAACCCTAAAAAAATAAAAGGCAAACCCAACTAAATATCCAGTAAACCCTTTTGTCCTTCCCCTCGTAAACCCTAAACCCTCATAAACCCTAAACCCTAATTACCTTAATATAATATCCATCACGTAGACCGCCAAACTTTTCTTGGCCAGCCGTGTCCCATACATTGAATACTATTGGGCCGAAGTTGGTGGTGAAGCGAAGAGGGCGGACTTCGACACCAAGAGTGGGAATATATTTTTTTTCGAATTCTCCTGTAAATAATTCATAGGGATTTCTATATAAATATATTTATTAAGAAATATAAAAGGGAAAAAGAAAGAATAGAAAAAGAAAAAGGATATTATTGAATTGAGCAGACAAAGACGAAAAAGAAAAAGGGTCTAAATGATATATTATTCACTGTAGGAAGAGGAATAATAAGGGAGATACAGCAGGAGAAGCAGCAGCAGCAACAGCAGCAGTAGCAGGCGCAGCAGCAGCAGGAGAAGCACTGAGGCTGCTGCTGCTGTATTATACATAACATAGCAGAGACATCCTTAATGAGACATAACAAGGATATAAACAGCAACAAGAAGGGCAAGAATTGCGGCAGCAGCAGCTGCTGCTGCTGCTGCAGGGACTGCCGCTGCTGCTGCTGTTGCATGCAGACATCATAGAGACCCCAGGGAGGTGTATATACACCTGAAGGTCCTTATAAGGATAATAAGAAGAAAGGAACAGAAAAGGAGCAGCAGGAAAAGACAGACAGGAGCAGAAGCCATAGCCGCCCCACAGTGCATCTGCTGTATATATAGGGTGTATATAAGCCCTAAACCCTAAACCCTAAACCCTAAACAAGAAGAGAAGAGATAAATATATACTATAAACCCTTATATTATACAACAAGAAACAAAAAAAACACTCACCTGTAAGGTGCCTCTTCACCAGGGTCGTCTTCCCTACACCCCCATCTCCCACCAAAATGAGTTTAAACTCTGGTACCTGCTCCGCCATTTTTAGGGTTTAGGGTTTAGGGTTTAGGGTTTTAGGGGTTTAGGGTTTAGGGTTTTGCAAACCAATCTTATTATGCCAAAAGCCCCAACCAAATTTTCTTCTCATACCCTACGCATGAACAGAACAAGTCGCTGCCGCTGCTGCTGCTGCTGCTGCTGCAGTAGCAGCCAGCAGCAGCCTGCTGCTGCTGCTCCTTGGGTGTTTTTTGTGCAGCTCTTGTTAAGGAGAGGTCAACCCCTCCACCTACATCAATAAATGTATTTTCCTTTTTATTCTAAATTTTTAATTAATTAAAACTTACTTGTCTGATTCTTTCATATAAATAAATACAATGACGCAACAACATACCATGCATGGGGCCACCAGGTGTACGTACACCGCAGCAGTGACGCCTCCCCCTTGCTGCCTCCTGTCTAGGAAGTGATCTAATTAACTCATAAACCCCTTTTTTTGTACATATTAAAATAATGTACAATGTTTTTTGTGTATATTTAGTTATTTAGATGCTCATATCTCTACAAACAGGGGAGAAGCAGCACCACACAGGGAGGCTGCTGCATGCTAGGCTGCTTTCTCGGGTGTATCCGCAACTTTATGTATCGCCAGCTGTATCCTCAGGTGTATCTTCAGGTATATCTTTAGGTGTTTGGCTACTCTTGTGTCTCCTCAGGTGTCTCCGCAGATGTATGTACCTTTAGGTATATCTCTAGGTGTATATTCAGTTGTATATATTCGGGTGTATCTTCAGGTGTATATGCAGCTAAATTGTGCATCCTTATCCCTGCCCAAAGGTTATTATTAGCAGAAAAAAGGAATAAAAATAAAAATAAAATACTTTTTATTATAATAATACTTATTTATTAGTATATATTAATATACTCTTACTTATACCCTTAGTAACAATAAATAATATTATTAATTAAGGGAGAAGTTACTTCCTGCTGTTACCTAATACTAATAAAAAAACTTCTCCTTGCTGCAGCAACAGATGCAGCGAAACCCCACATGCATGCATGCATGCATGCATGCATGCATAATAATACTTTATTGTGTCTGCATGCATGCATGCAGACATGATAAAGTATTCTTTGCTGCTGCATGCATTATAAACATTACTAAATAAGAATAAGGGGGAATAAAGTTACTTATATCTATGTATATATATACTATTTATATATGTATATATATACTATTTATATATGTATATATTATTTATATAAATATACTATTTATATATGTATGTGTATATGTATATGTATATGTATATTATATATATATTTATACTAATATAATAAGCCTTATAAAGGAAACAAAGCAAAGAAAAGCCTAATGAGCCGCACCAAGTGCATGCTCTATAGAACAAGTTAGCAGCACGAGCAGCAGCAGCTGTTGCTGCTGCTGCTGCTGCTGCTGCTGCTGCTGCTGCAATATAAGCAGCAGCTTCCCCTTTATTGTCTTTGTTGTATCTTTGCTCATAAAAAGAGCAAAGAAGAAAAATTTAAATAATAACTATTTATTTATTTATTTATTTTATTTATTTATTGTATTTATATTTATTTATTTATTTATTTAATTTATTTATTTATTTATTTATTTATTTATTTTTTCTTTAAGGAGCCAAAGACAGAGTCTGGTACTTTTTTTTCCTCTATTTGTATATCATCTAAATCAATATCCATTTCTTCTTGCTGTCTAGGCTGCCCTACACCACTGCTGCTGCTGCTGCTGCTGCTGCTGCTGCTGCTGCTGCTGCCGCTGCGGCTTGCTGCTAAGAAGCTCCTCTCCCTCTCCTGTATAAAGTCTGCCCCTACCTGTTGCTCATCTAAGTAATAACCTAATCCTTGTGGTCCTTTCTTGAAGGCGTAACCAGCACGGGGACCCTATAAAGAAAAAAGATATAAATAAATAAATAAATAAATAAATAATATAATTAATAAATATATATAAATATAAATAAAGGAGACAATTAGCTAATAAATAAATGGCTATAAGGGTATACTTTTATTCCTTATACAATAAGGAGACATATATATTATATAATATATACATACATATATACATACATCCCTGTTTATACACTAACGCATGCATATGCCTATATATACACATATACATGTATATATATACATATATATACATATATACATATATATAAATAAGTAAATAATAAATAAATAATAAATACATAAATTAAATGTATTAGATGATAAGAAAAGAGGAGCATATATACACATATATATACATATATATACATGTATATACAGCAAATATAATGTATATATATTAATAGATAAATAAATAATAATAATATATAATAATAAATAAATAAATAAATAAATACTTACATTAAATGTACTAGATGATAAGAAAAGAGGAGCATCTTGTTGTATTGCTGCTCTTGTTGCTGCCTGTCTTCTATGACGCTGCAATTCTTGATACTCTGCCTCTGCTTCCTCTCTTTCTTGTATCTCTGTTTGCTGCTTCTGCTGCAGCAGCAATTGGGCCTGTAGTGCCTCCTCTTGCTGCAGCAATTGCTGCCTCTCCCTGTCCTCTCTTGCTAATTGTGCTGCTGCTTCCTTAACAGGATCAGCAGGCAATGGCTTTGCTGCTTCTGCTGCTGTTAACTCCGCTACGTTGTGGTGTACTTGGCTGTATTGAGCTATTACACTGCAAATAAATAAATAAATAAATAAATAAATAAATAAATAAATAAATAAATAAATAAATATAAATATTAATTAATTAATTAATTAATTATATATTAATTAATGTATACAAATAGGATAATTATAATATTATTTGTATTTGCACTGAGCAATCATATTCCCCCTATTGTTAATCTATTTAATTTATTTTATTTATTTAATTTATTTATTTATTTTATTTAATTTATTTAATTTATTTAATTTATTTATTAATAAATAAATAAATACAATATTTACCTGCGCTTAATACGCAACATATCCTTGAATGTATCTTCGTTACCATAGGCGACCTCCAAGTCACGCCACGCCTGTATAAGAAAAGAAAAGAAAAATAAATAAATAAAATAAATAAAATAATATAATTAATTATATTATTTATTAATAATATATTTAAATATACACATGTAATACAGTAAATATGGTCACAACTCCTGTTGCTGCTCCTGCTGCTGCTGTTGCACGAGGGTGCAACAACAACAGCAACAACACCAACAGCAGCAGCAACAGCAGCAACAACACCAACAGCAGCAGCAACAGCAGCAGCACCACAACCTCCATCATCATCATCACTAGCATCATCATGACAATCACAATCACCAGCAGCACCAGCATCGTTAGCAGCAGCAACACTAGCAGCAGCAACAACAACAAAACCAGCAGCAGCAACAGCAGCAACAGCAGCAACAGCAGCAGCAGCAACAGCAGCAGCAGCAGCAGGACTAGTCTTACATTCCAGAATTCTTGATCTTTTGATGGATCACAAAGATGTGCTGCATGCTGATAAATTGCTCGCGATCTATCAATTTCTCCAAGACATTTCTCTACATGTGCATAACGCATGCATACTGTTCTTACCTAAAAAAAAAGAGAAAAAAGAAACAAAAAAAAAATAAAAATAAATTCATAAGAATAAATAAACAGAAAAAAAAAGAAAAAGAAAAAAAAAAAATCTCTAGACCCTAAACCCTAAACCCTAAACCCTAAACCCTAAACCCTTACATCCTTGGGCGGGAGGGTTTCGATAGCCTCTTCGAATATTTTTCTTGTCCTCGCCACTCCAAATAGTTCACTAGTCTGCAGCAAAGACACCCCAACAGCAGCAGCAGCAACAGCAGCAACAGCAGCAGCAGCAGCAGCAGCAAAAGCAGCAAAAACAACAACAGAATGAGTATTGAATATAAATGAATTAAATAAAAGGAAGAAAAGGGAGAAAGGGAAAAAACAGCACCTATAAATAAAAAAAACAATTAATTAATTAATTAATTAATTAATTAATTATATTAATTTAATTAATTAATGAATTAATTAATATATAAATAAATGTATTGACTTACCCTAGCAATATATACACAATACATATCTAATTGTTCCTCAGGTAATACAGCTTTTGTTGCTGCACTATAAATAGATAATGCATGCTTAGCTAATCCATAAGTTTCCTCTAATTTAGCATAAAGAAGGAAGAAATTTTTTGCATATTTATTAGGTATATTATATATAATTTGTTGGAATAATTCTCTTGCTCTCTCCAATTTATTCCTTTTATACCTATTTATAAACTTTGTTATATACATTAACCATATACTATTTACATGTGGCCAATTAAATAAGGATACACCTCGTTCGTATACACGAAAGGATTCTTCATAGTATCCACGCTCCTATACACACAAAAAAATAATTTATTTATTTATTTATTTATTTATTTATTTATTTATGTTGTTAAATTGCATGCATGCATTGAGGGAAATTCACAGAAGGAATAGGGAAGGAATAAGAGAAGAAAAAACACCAGCAGCATCAGCACGAACAGTAGCAAAAGCAACGGCAGCAACAGCAGCAGCAGCAACAGCAACAGCAGCAGCAGCAGCAGCAGCAGCAGCAGCAGACCTCAAGGAAATGTGCATAATTAATGACGAGTTGTGGCGTAATAACTTTTAATTGAAACATTTTATCATAACAAGCACGCACGGTGTCCATAGACCCAAACATTTCTTCCTGCATACAAATAAATAAATAAATAAATAAATAAATAAATAAATAAATAAATAAATAAATAAATTAATTAATTAATTATAAAATGTATTATATACTATATTTATTATATATATTTTATACTTATTTATAACTGGCTATACAACCACTATACAATACATTCTTTCCCTCTTCCCTCTTCCCTCCCCTTCCCTTTCCCCTTTGTTTTCTTTCTTATCTTGTGCCCCTATATAATACAATTATATTACAAGATTTTATTTATTATAACTTTAAATCGTTATTTTTGGGGCTGTGTGTACATGCATGCATGCAAGTATGCATGCATGCATGCATGCATGCATACACGCATATTTGCATGCATATTTCTTACCACATCTGCAGCAAGTGCCCATAATTTAACAGATCTATATAGTCTATTATGTGCTTGTTTTCCTTCTTCTTGTTTTTTATTATTAGATTGGCTAACAGCAGTCCTAGCAAGTCTTAATGCATCATTATATAGACCATGACGTAGATGCATCTCTATACATTCACACCATACAGAAGATAAATCATCTACTGTCCTATATGCTGCCTGTACACCCCGATTAAATACTTTTGCTGCATTCTCTATATCTCCATGAGCCTCATAAAAACGAGCAAAAGATATCCATAATACACCTATACGTCCTAATGCTTTCTGTGGGTCCACGGTAGCCACAGCCTCCGTAAATGTCTCAACAACCTGTACACACAAATAAATAAAATAAATAAATATATAAATATATATAATTAATTATATTTATTATATTTATATTTAATTATATTTATAATGATAGGTTATTCATATATTATTTATTCATCTTGTTTATCTTACACCACCACCACCACCACCACCACACCACCACCATCAACAGCAGCAGCAGCAGCAGCAGCAGCAACAGCAGCAACAGCAGCAACAACAACAAGAGCAGCAACAGCAATATAAGGATGAATAATAATTACCTTTTTAGTATCATCTTGTACTAATTCTGCCCTAGCTAACCATTCATGAACATTATGTGGATTTTGTCGAAGTTTACAGGAAGAAATAAGAAGAGGTCTTCTTTCTGTTAATCGTTCAAGTCTAGCAATAGCAAAATCAATTTCTTTAGCTGCTGCTGCTGCTGCATCTTCTTGCTGCTGCTGTTGTTGCTGCTGTTGTTGCTGCTGCAGTAATTGTGCTACTATTGCCTCCTCAAATGCTGCATATGCCTCATATACTATAGCTAGATCTCTTATAGTAGATACAGAGGATAAACTTTCCTCATATATATCTCTTGCCTTAGGTAATAGACCTATTCTTATATAATGAGAGGCAAGAGAGCACCATAAGGAAGCAACAGCATCAGAGAATCTATTTATACCACTTCTTAATATATCCTCAACTCTTACGGAGTGTATAGACTCTGGATATGCAGCAACTAGTTTACATAATTCTAGCCATAATTCATGACGTGTCCTACCACTAGCCATACGTATACTACTATCGCTTGCTGCTGCAGCTAATTGGGCTGCTGCCTCATCATAACGACCTACAGATACTAAATATAATGCATATTCATCTAATATCTCCGGACATATCATTGACCAACGACGATATAAACATACTGCTGTCTCGGATACACCACAACCCTACAAATATCATATTTACACACATATATA